AAGATTTTATTTATTTGACAGAGAAAGAGAGCACAAGTAGGCAGAGCGGCAGGCAGAGAGAGAGGGAGAAGCAGGCTCCCTGCTGAGCAGGGAGCCCGACACAGGGTTTGATCCCAGAACCCTGGGATCATGACCCGAGCCGAAGGCAGACACTCAACCAGCTGAGCCACCCAGGCGCCCCCACAATTTTTTTTAAACATTTTTATTTTATGGTTCAAAAATGAAAATCTAAAATGGTGTACAGTGAGGAGTCTCACTCCCACTCATGTCCCTGTCCACCCTTTACCTGCCCACCCTCTAGTAGCCACTTTCAGTATTTTGTAGCTTGGCAGTTTCATTATGTACAGATGAGCAAATGTAAGTACATACTCTTATTTTCTCCATTTTTTTTTTTACCCAAAAATAAAAATAGCATACTTTATCCATCTTCTGTGCTTTTTTAAAAAATTTAAATCCTAGGGGTGCCTATGTGGCTCAATGGTTAAGCCCCTCACTCTTGATTTTGGCTCAGGTCATGATATCAGGGTCATGAGATTGAGTCCAGCATCAGGCTCTGTGCTGGGCATGGAGCCTCCATAGGATTCTATCCCTCTGTCCCCCACCCCTCTAAAAATGTATAAAATAAAATAAAATTTAAATCCTAGATAGCTTCCATATCACTATGTGGAGTTATTCTCCATTTTTTGGTTATTATATGGAAATCCTATAGTTGATTCCTCTAATAATAGATACTGGGTTGTTCCCAATTGCTAAAAGTTTATTAGTTTTTTTTTTTGAGGGGTTTTTAAAATTTGTGTTTATACTGTGGATTGTCTGGACCCTCTTCACTAATATACTGTAGAGGTCTTCCTTCCCACTGTACCCTGTGTAGGTCTGCATTAAGAAAATAGCTGCATAGCGTTCAGTTGTCTGAATGCACCATAATTTAACCATACTCCTATTTTTCCTTTTTTCTAGATGTAGCTAGAAAAAGCTACATCTTTATGTATTTGTCAGAGTTTATAACATATAAGTGAAATTGGTAGGTCAAAGTTACGGCATTTCATAATCTGCTAAATACTGCCATTAGTTTTCTACATAAAACATTACCATAAACTTAGCAGCTTCAAACGGCCCATGTTCATTAGCTCATAGTTCAAAAGTTCAATAGGTCATGAGTTGGGGCTCGGTATACTGAGTTCAATGCTCAGGGCCTTAGAAGGCTGAAATCAAGGTGTCACTTGGGCTGTATTCCTTTCTACGGGCTCTGGGCAAGGATCCACTTACAAGTTCATTGTGGTTATTGGCCAGATTCAATTCCTATGATTGTAGGACTAACATCCTGGTTTCTGTACTGGTTGTCAGCTGAGTGCCCCTCTCAGCTCCTAGAAGCTGCCTGCAGTCTTTGCCATTTCACTTCTATCTTCAGAGCCAGCAGTGGATAATCTGCCCCCAAGGAGATGCTTTTAACCTCTTTTGCCAGTCCTCCTATAGGCTCAAGTGATTAAGTTGGGCCTACAGAGGATAATCTTCCCTATATTAAGGTCAGGTGCTTTGGGACCTTCCATGTGCACCGTCCCTTCTCAGCGGCAGAGGTTAGGGTGGATATCTGGAAGGTATGTGGACACAGAAGGTGGAAATCTTGGGGCCATGGTGGACTCCTAGCCTCCCAGTTGCGGGCCACCCTCTAAGAGTTATATCAATCTGCGCACCTACCAGTAGTATACAAGTGTGTCCGTTTCTCCCCTTCCCCATGTTTCCATTGGTTGTTAAATCTTAGTTACCTGTGAAAGCTTTGTGGATACTAGTTTTTGTTCATAAATACTACAAATATTTTTTTCCTAATTTATCCTTTGTCTTTGCTGTCAGAAGTTAAATTGTACTCTATCGTTTTTCCTTTGGGATTTCTGGCTTAGAAAGGTTTTCATCTGTTTTCTTCTAATCCTTATTATTTCTTTTAAAAAAATATCTGATCCAAATGCCTAGCCACTTGTCATAACTGCATATATTAGAATTATGTTAGAATTAAACTATTATCACTGCAATTCCATACAAATGCCTCAGCTGCTTATATTTTAGCTCTGAAGTAAATGGTTTCTCTTTTCAGATTCCTTTCTCCAAATTTTTCTTCTCTAATCAAGGAAGAATCCGGGATGCCCAGTACCAGCTTCTGCTTGACAAGGTAACATTTTCCTGTACTTTGACTCAGAACTGTTTACTTTAGTGAAACAAAACTCCTGTGAGGATGATTTCAGTCCATTTTTGAGGGTTGGCAAATAAAAGATGAAAATTCTTATCAAGGCCTCCCCTGTATTCCACACAGAGGTTGACTCAGACCTCTTCTGTGAGCCAAACCCCCAGCTGGGAGAGCTTTCACTATGGTCATCTTTTCAGCCTGCCTACATTTTATTTTAGCTCCAAAACAAGAGAATAGTATTCTAGTTCAGGAGGGCTTCAAGGAACCTCCATTAGACATCCATGCTGTCCTCACCAGTCTTAAGTGGCACTACTTTAAAGAGAGGGAAGGGGAAGTAGAAAGTAGAAAGAAAATCAGCCCTGCACTTCCTTTTGTGATTTGCTATATAGCATAAGAGAACTATGGCATACTTGCTCAGGGCTGATAGTGTAAAGACAGTTATATGAATCATCTCATGGAACTTGAAAACTCCAGGAACAATATCAGTATATGAGATTTTGATCAATTTCTCTATTTTAAATGTAGATCTCTTCTATTGGATTCACTCTGGCCGATAAAGTGGATGGTCCATTCTTCCTAGAAATAGATTTTATTGGAGTGTTTACGGATCCAGCCCACACAGAAGAATTTGCCTATGAAAATTCTCCAGAACTTAACCCAAGACTTTTTAAATAGAGATGGTAATTTTGTACTACCAAACTAAGAGTAGTATTATCCATGATGACAGAGACAAAATAAAGTACTTCTTTAACGGCTTCCAACCAATGGCTGGTATGTATTCCCTGAGACAAAGATAAATGCTGTTGTCAAGAGGGGCCCCACAGAGGGAGACACAGTATGAACCTAGGCTCTAAGCTGTAACTTAAAAGAAGTCCTGATGTGGAGGTATCATGTAAAGGACTTAAGTGGTTTGGGTTAAAATGATTCATTAGGAACAATTCCCCTACACACATAGGCATTGCCAAAGCAAGGAGTCCTCAAGATGACTGTTGATGTCTTTCTCCTACTCTATTCCTTGTAGGTTTCTTGTGTTTTCTAATCCATCTTTTAAGGAAAGGAGATTGCTAAAGATTGCTATGCAATTCAGTGATTTTTAGTATATTCACAGACTTGTCAGGTTTTACCACAGCTAATTTTAGAAAATTTCTATCTGTCCTAGAAGTAACCTTAACACCCCCCCCCCCCCAGTATCGACTGCTCTACTTTCTCCATAGGTTTAGCTTATCTGGATGTGTTGTACAAAGAGAATCATATGTGATCTTTTACGTCTGGTTCTTTTCACTTAGCATAATATCTGTGAAATTTACTCATGTTGTAACATTTTATTAGTACTTTATTCCTTTTTAGTGCATCATTTTTAATCTATTAAAGGACAGCTGGATGTTCTCTACTTTTTGGCTACAGTGAATAATACTCCTGTAAATATCTGCCTAGAAGTTGCCCATGTGCTTCTTTCTCTTGTGTATACACCTAGAAGGTCATGTGTGTCAATGTGACCCATGCCATTGTTGTGTAATGTGGTAGACATATTTAAGAAGCCACCAACCTGTTTTCCAAAATGATTAGATCATTTGCCTTCCAGGCTGCAGTGTATTTGACAGTGGTTTAATTGATGTGATCTCTGCTTTTTTTTTTTTTTTAAAGATTTTATTTATTTGACAGAAACAGTGAGAGAGGGAACACAAGCAGAGGGAGCGGGAGAGGGAGAAGTAGGCTTCCTGTGGAGCAGGGAGCCCGATGCGGGGCTCCATCCTAGGACCCTGGGATCATGACCTGAGCCGAAGGCAGATGCTTAACGACTGAGCCACCCAGGCGCCCCATGATCTCTGTTTTGTTTTTTTTTTTTAACTTTTATTTATTTATTCATGAGAGACAGAGAGAGAGAGAGAGGGGCAGAGGGAGAAGCAGGCTCCCAAGGAGCAGGGAGCCCGATGCGGGACTTGATCCCAGGACCCCGGGATCATGACCTGAGCCGAAGGCAGACGCCCAACCATCTGAGCCACCCAGGCACCCTGATCTCTGCTTAATAGCAAAATCGGAGTTTATTCAGCACCCAGGAGTATGCCAATGTTCTGTGGGCTCGTGTATGTTTAACAGTAAGTATAACAGAGTTGGACATGGGCTGTGAAAAATACAAGAGGACAACACAGTCATTTCTTAGGGTGAGAAGAGGTGGTCAGGACAGGATGCACAGAGTATAACTTTTTTTTTTTTAAAGATTTTATTTCTTTATTTGACAGCACAAGCAGGGGGAGAGGCAGAGGCAGAGGGAGAGGGAGAAGCAGACTCCCTGCTGAGCAGGGAGCCCGAACTGGGGCTCGATCCCAGGACCCTGGAATCATGACCCGAGCCGAAGGCAGCCGCTTAACCGACTGAGCAACTCAGGCGCCCCAGTAAACTTCTTAATCTTAGTTGGTCAACTCAATCATGAAGTAAATTTATTTACAAAGAATCTACCACCATGAGAAAACATTTATGAAAATCTTAAACAGTACAAAGCTCTACCTAGGTGCAACAAACATGGCTGTGAGGCTAAGCAACTCTAGTCTTTTCCATAAAGTGAGTAAGATGTAACTCTGACAGAGCATATTAATCCTTGAAGCAGCAATCCTCAGATTTCAGTATGGCCCTGTATATTTTTAAGGCTAAAATGAGCTATAGAGTTTTTAAGAATATATTGAGTGACAGAGGGCATTTCCATCAAGTGATTGGAACAAGTGTGCATAGGTAACAAAACACTTCACATAGGTAGAATATTTTTGCCATTACCAACCCGTTTGGGTCCCTGTTTCATTAAGATGACTCGATCCTCTGGAGAAGGATGAGGTGGCTTTCTCAGCTTGTTAGTGGTTTAGGTTCTACTAAAGGTTGTGGTACAACTACCTACCCTCAGGTAAATGCTTCTGTCTGGAAGAGGATTCCAGTTCTGTCAGCAGAGGGAACTTGACATTAAAAATCTAGGTCAAGAATCTATAGGATGAGTCTCATTAGAAAACTGAATTGTACAGAAACTTAGGTAAAAACCATTTCAAAGAATTTGTGAACCTTAAGGTCAGTAACAACTTTTCAGGGATGTAGTATGTGAAGAGAACCACCAACACTACATAGATAGTGAACAAAGAGCAGAAAAAAGTCTTTTGACTAAAGTGGGAAAGACAAAAATATTTACAATAAAGAAAGGGTTCAGAATAAAATACTATTTACAGGATATTAAAAAATTAATCTTCAGCCATAATGAGGCCTCTTCGAGCTCCTAAAACCTTTGCTTTCTTCTCTTTTCGTCTTTGCTCATGTTGTTTCCGTTGTTCCTCCCTAAAGAGGGGGACAGGTACACATTAGGGTCTAGTGAAGCTCCACAAAAGTCCACTTTAAGTACCTGTCAGACTAATGTCCAGGCTTAAACTGAAGTCCAGTATACTTGTACAAAACACACTCTTATAGGACACTGTGCTCTAGCTAGTGGGCTATGGAAGCCACATCTCTAAGTCACTTGTGTTAAAGGGCTAGAAAGTGGTATTTTCCTTTTAATGTTAATGTAGCATTCTAAAATTAAGCATGGAACTGGAACAAAAGCCACCTCGTTACCTTAATTTGTTTTATATATATATATATATATTTTAAAGATTTTATTTATTTATTTGACAGAGACACAGCGAGAGAGGGAACACAAGCAGGGGGAGTGGGAGAGGGAGAAGCAGGCTTCCCGCCGAGCAGGGAGCCCGATGCGGGGGCTCGATCCCAGGACCCTGGTACCATGACCTGAGCCGAAGGCAGACACTTAACAACTGAGCCACCCAAGTGCCCCCTTTAATTTGTTTTAAATGAGAAATCTCTACCTTTGGAAGTCAAATGTCAAGCTCAAAAATCCTATAGTCTGGTGAAGTGCTAGAACTAGGGTCTGCTGACCTAAGCCAGTGTATGTTTCTGGAAGGGACTGGGGATTGGTAGGAGGGGCAGGGGAAGGCTAGGTTTATGTTAAACTTAAAAAAAAAAAAAAAAAAAAATCAGGGGCGCCTGGGTGGCTCAGTTGAAGGCTCAGTCTGCCTTCGGCTCAGGTCGTGGTCACAGGGTCCTGGGTTCGAGCCCCACATCGGGCTCCCTGCTCCGCGGGAAGCCTGCTTCTCCCTCTCCCACTCCCCCTGCTTGTTCCCTCTGTCTTGCTGTGTGTCTCTGTCAAATAAATGATTATTTTTTTTTAAAGATTTTAAGTAATCTCTACACCCAATGTGGGGCTCAAACTCATAACCCCAAGATCAAGAGTCCCATGCTCTTCTGACTGAGCCAGCCAAGCGCCCCTATGTTAACCATCTTAATAGCAAATATAGTTAGTAAATGTCTTGGTGGCAGCTGGATATAGGCAAGTCACATGATGGGTAATCCTGTATCAGGATGGTTTCATGCAGGGAATCAACTCAACCGGGACGAGCTACAGCCCACAGCAAGCTCTGGCTTTGGTTTTCACACAGAAGGAAGCCTGTAAGGATCATCTGGGGATTTCTTCTGGGTAGGGCCTTGAAGCCTAATAAGCCTGGTTTCCCTGGGGCTGAAGAATTTACACCTGGGCCCTTGGATTGTTGTCTGGAGGGATATCCAGGTACACTGTTTGGGCTGGTAGGTCCTGTGATAACATGGTCCCCTTCTGTATCACCTATGGAGCTTCAGAAATCGTGCAGCTGCTTGGGCCTCACCTCCCAGTTCCTGAATTAAAAACCACTGTCGGGGGGGCGCCTAGGCACATGTATCTTCAGGAAGTTTTATGTTATTCCCCGACTACCCTTTCCTTACACACCACTATTACTGAACCTCTCTACCTCAGAGGCTTTGCTTTTATAGTCTTTCAAAACTAAAATTACTATAGAACTGGATAATTATGTACTCACCTAGTCTGGAGAGGAGGTTGTTTGTAAGTTTTCTTGTGGAAGCTAACTCTGTTTACGTGCTCTTTCAGAGAATTATTTTCTTTAGATTGACCCCATGGTTTCAGCTTGCCTAGTTTAGGAGAGACAAAGATTTAAGAAGATTCTTCTACTTATATTCCCAATTTTATTCTCTTCATCTGAGGCTATTTGCTTGCTATCAATATTTATACTTTATTTTTATAGACATTTGCCACTATATTTATTAGTTTAATTCCTATTCCACAAATATAAATGATATAAATCATATTTTTTTTCTTCTAAAAATAAGTTTTTTTTTTAAAGGTTTATTAAGAGAAAGAGAGCATGTGTGCACACACGTCCTGGAGGGGCAGAGGGAGAGGGAGAAAGAATCTCAAGCAGACTCTGCGCTGAGCACAGAGCCCAATGCGGGCTCAGTCTCATGACCCTGAGATCATGTCGTGAACTGAAATCAAGAGTTGGATGCTTAACCAACTGAGCTACCCAGGCATCCCAGGAAGTCTTATTGTTTTAAAGCAATTCTAGGGATGCCTGGGTGGCTCAGTCCCTTAAGCATCTGCCTTAGGTTCAGGTCATGATCCCGGGGTCCTGAGATTAAGTCCCATGTCGGGCTCCCTGCTCACTGGGGAGTTTGCTTCTCCATCTGCCTGCTGCTCCCCCTGCTTGTGGTCTCTGACAAATCTTTAAAAACAAAAACAAAAAACAATTCTAGAATTACTGAAAGATTACATGAAGTATTGGTTTTTGTTTTTAGAATTGGTATTTTAAATGGATATACAGATACTTTAATATAGGCCCAATTTATATGGGCATTTATATAGCCAGTAAATGTCCCAGGTTGTTGGACAGGTGGATTCCAGCCTGGGATCCTTTAAAAGTTGTAAAGAAAACATTCATTTGCCCACAGACCAATTTCCAAGTTTCTTGATTTTGCCTGAAATTTTATTATTTCTTTGCTGTAACACAGATTAGAAGTTATGTCTTTGATTAACAAAAATGTAAGTGAATTGATTATTTAGTATTTGCTTAGTGGACAGTCTTTTAAATCATGGGTCATGTGGACCCCGGGGGGAAGAAATTCTAGGTGGCCAAGTATGGCTTTCCACTGAGGCACTAGAATTTTTCACATCCTCAGATGTAGAACTATTTAATCCTAAGTCTTTGGCACGTCTTTTATCTCAGAACATCTGCACGTACCTTTGTGTGGCTCATAGTTGAGGGGACGAGACAGACTTGCTTTGAGATCAAACACTGGCTTCTTGTTGGAGACTGGAGTCTGTGCTGTCTGAGTTGTCAGTTTGAATGGGGTAACAACTACGAAACCAAGAAACAAAACCCCAGGGCTTAATTAGGAGAAAAAAAAAAAGACCTATACAGTTTTTTGTTGAAGTACCATTTCTCAGTCTTAAAAATATCATCTCTATGGACAGTCTCAAACATGAAGGTTTAAAAAGGAAAAGGGAGAAAAGAATAAGGAAAGCTAACCACCGAGACTTGCTTCCCTTGTGAGTCGTTCCCCAAATAGTCTCAGCATTAGGATATTTCCTAGAGTCACCTGGGAGTTGAAAATCCTGTTTAAATAATTGATGGGTAAATGTTCAGGCCGTGTCCCTGATGTTATTTACCCTTTAATAATACGTTAGTAGTAACATTTTCAATCGTACAGCTATAAAGCCTGCAAGGAACCTCATCACATATAAATGAAAATATTTGTGGCTCTGGTTGTTATTTATAAAAGCAGTTATTTAAAAATGTGAATTTTTGTACCATAAATATACCAGAATGACAAGACTCAGTAAGCCAAATTTTTGCTACAGTTGGTACCATATATCGGGCACCTTTTATTCTTTCCCATCACAGGCTATTCTCAGGCTATTGTCGAATGTCAGCACTTGCGTGCGTATATATGAATAAGCAACCAAAATCTAGGGCCACTTGGTTCAGTGAGAAAAGCACAAAACCCGTTTGAAAGTGATCCCATCGGGCGCCTGGGTGGCTCAGTCAGTTAAGCGACTGCCTTCGGCTCAGGTCATGATCCTGGAGTCCTGGGATCGAGTCCCACATCGGGCTCCCTGCTCAGCAGGGAGTCTGCTTCTCCCTCTGACCCTCTTCCCTCTCGTGCTATTTCTCATTCTCTCTCTCTCAAATAATAAATAAAAATCTTAAAAAAAAAAAAAAAGTGATCCCATTGTGTGGCTATCTGGTGCCGGCAGTGGGGGAACATGGGCTGTCCACCATGCTGAGCAGAGTTTCAATAGGTACAATTCAGCCTGTCCAGTAACTGCAGCCCTGCCACACCCCAGTCCCTCCGAGCTCTAGAGAAGCTCTCACACGTGTACAGGAGAAATGGTTCAGAATGGTCATGACACTGTAACAACAAAAGCTGGAAATACGTAGTCAATGACCAGTAAAACACAAATTGAAGTATATCCATACCAGTGAAAATGAACAAATTTTATAGCTCATTTATCAATATGGGTGATTCTTGAAACATTAAACTGAGTGAACGAAGCAAATCATAGGAAAAAAAATCCTACAATTTGATTTCCTTTACATAAGATTCATATCTGATAGGGGAAAAAACTATCCCATCCCAACTGGGCACACCCCTGAATTACCATGAGAAAGCTCAATATGGTAAGCAGTTTCTGCCTCATGTTATCTGTGAGCATTTGTGAGTCCTTCCTCATCACGTAAGTGGTCTACTCAGTGACCCCAGCTCTCTGTAAAATAACACCGTCCTATCTTAGGCAAGTCCACTCCATTTGTAGCACTGCCTTCTGTCCAGGCCCCTTTCTTCCCTTACTATAGGAAGATTTAGAAGGTTACATGGAATGTTTGCTCGCTGGTGGTGTTAAGGTTAAGCTGGGAATGAGAGAGCTCATTTAGAGGAAGAATCACATAAATTTACTATTCCCACATCTGGACTTGCTTAAAATGTAGCTGTCAGCCTCACTCTTCTGTCTTTAAGGTATGAAGAAACCCTCATCAACTCTCCACACAGATCATTACCGACACTGTTCTGAAGCCCCTGCTGGATTGCTCTAGTCTCGGGAGTTGGCGAGCCTTTCTATGGGATCAAGGTTCTTGCCTCATGTATTCGATAGGACTCTCAGGAGAATTGACATACTCAGTTCTAATATAGGCCTCATGCTGGTTATATA